ACTTTTTTTTAATAGTATATAATTTGTCCAGACGTGTGTTTACCATAGTTTCACAATCGGATATCAAACAAATACGCCTTAATGAGCTTAAAGGTTTTCTATAAAAGCAACACACCCGGCAAAACTGGTAGATGATGTCATTCGAAAAGCTTTCAGTTTAGATCAGAGCAAATTAAGGTGTCCAAAAACGATATGTTAACACAGAGTAACAAGGAAGATGCTTTAGTAACTACTTTCTTAAAAATAGCCCGATTATGGAAGATATATTAAATAAGATAAAAAATAATAAATAGTTTAAAGCAACCTCAAAGCCTGGCTAAATTACTAATCTCATTAAAATTCGAATCAACTAAAACCATACCCACAGTTAACAAGTGTAATGAATCTAAATGCAAAACGTGTTTAATCATGAGGGTTGCGGACAATTTTACATTTCATATAAAACAACCAATGACTTGTAAGTCCGATTACATTATATATGTTATAATTTGTCCGCGCTGTAAGGGTAGATATATCGGAAACACCATAAATATGCATCCGTTATTATTATTCCCATTATAGTTCATTGTTGTAACCATGACGTTATTACGTCACATCAATTGTCAGAAAAAGTTTAATAAAGCATAATACTCGCAAACACCTAGTTTTCTTTCCTAAAACAACTTTATTTCTAATATCTAACACCCGAGAGTAACTTTAACTATAACCTTTTACTATATAGGTGCATGTATATTTCTAAATTAATTAGAAATAGCCTACCGAATTCGATTGCAATTGCAATCTAAGGAAGCTGTTCAGAATTCGATCAGATCAGGAGAGACACACCCGTTAATTTTATCCCTGCCATGCGTTGAAATCTTTGACTATGTTTGTTATTTACGACATTTTAGCGTGTAAGAATATCCTTTGACGTAGCAGCATTTAAAGATGCCTTCCCGCGTTCAAAATTTATGATTCCATAATATATTTGGACTAAAAACATATTCAACCTAATTTATCTATCAAACGTTTGCTTCAAATCCCCCTCAAAACATGCAATCGCAAGAAATCTACCCCATTTAACACCCTTGTTTGTTACGAGAATCCATTTCCAGTTTGTATTTGTCGTTAGATGCTGTCCATTTACCGTGAATATCAAAGCCTAAGTAAACGCATGGATTACCCTCTGCCAAATTCTATTTTCGCCGTTTACTCACGGAGTCTACTGGATGTTTAAATCCCTCAATGTTCTCACAACAGTTAGCCATTAGATCAGCATGTAAGAATCACTCCTTACGTCAGTCGAGCAGACAGACTGCCACTTAGTGACACCCTTACATGTTTGTCCCATGGGCGCCCGATGGGATTAATTGTCTCTACTTTCCATACACATGTATAAAAAATTTGCCAGACAATCATTGGAAATCACTATCCTATAAATAACTTCGTGGGAATGCATCTTTAACATTGTGATATAGATACGTATATACTAGTACCAAGTGAACTTTATTAACCTGTTATGTGTCTATCTTGTTCTGTTTTTATGAGCCCAGAACTGGAATTAATCGGAGTAGTGCGTGAAAAACTCATACACCTAAACCTTATGCAATCTAGTGTCTTATTTCGAATACAGCAAAGGGGAAAGGGTGTGGCAAGTTCTATGCTATCGTGTGCTGTGAGTCTTGTTACATTGACGCTCATAGATACATATTATGTACATTTTTTTTTTTTTTTTTTTTTTTGGATAATAATACTCATTCGTTGTCCTTTTACCAAATTAACAACAGCAAAGTTACATCAAGCATGTTCATATATTGAATGCAAATCTAACCCAAATGTGTTTGTTTTTGGATACTTTGATGACTTCTGATTCTTGTAATAAACTTATAGTACATTTTCTTAGATATTCCAGTTATTATTATTTCGCCCAGGATTGGGTTTTTATAAGCCAGTATATGTGTTTTTGTTTTGTATACGTTGGGGACCTATCTATAATATTTCTAATGGTCTGAACTAAATGCTTTCTGAGTTATTCGAGTAATAAGTATTTCCCCCAGTTAATTAGCTAATTAGGGATTTCGCTCAAAACGCACAGGGAGGTTGGATGGCCGAATGGCCAGCGTGTGCGCGTTGTATCATAGGGTCTGTCATTGTGTTAACTGGCTTGGTGATGATTCCCCGGTTGTACGTGAAAAGGAGTAAGGTCGCCTATTCAACCTCGTGGGTTTTCTCCGGGTCCTCCGATTTCCTCTTACTGCTAAAGACCCCTAGCGAATTATAGAAATAAAAATTGACATGGTTTGTGTCGAGTCGTAAACCCACATTCTCTCTCTAAAAACGCACACCAGAAATGGAATGAGGGACCTTGTTCCATAAAAAAAATCTGCCGATAAAATAAACATACACTACCAAACAAGGTCGAAGGTAAAATGTTTTCAACACACTGCCATATACATGTGAATCAGAAACAATAATATACATGTACAACATTGTCTCTCTATATTCATTAGGTTCGTAGCGACTTTGTGTGTTTGATTATAGTAATTCAACCGATATGGAATAGATATAGATTCAGGGAACAAAATAACACATCAATTATCTGCATCACCCTATATCTGACGCAATAGGTGTATATCACCGGTTAATATCAATCAGTAATAATTAAAACACTATCCCGTTCTTAATGCGATTATAGCGATTTGAGTACACACGGTCTTTCGCAACACGACATAATCTCATTTATTTAGGAAATAACTTACACAAAATAAGGCAACCAAGGTAGTGTCCTTGACGTGCAGTTTTTAATTTGCTAAAACATATGTTCAGGCATATGGTGCCAAGTAGAAACATGAGTAATAACTGGCCTGTTGTCATTGATCGAGTAATACCAATATATTATATTATTCTCTAACAGGGAATATTGGTAATACAATATATAATAACATATATAGCTAATCAATATCGCACAATATTACTTATTAAAATATATTCCTTGGGCAATAGAATATTGGCTATCACCTGTTGATATTTCATGTGTTGCATCGTCTGTTTTGGCATAATTTGCAGAAGAATGACTTCATAGACGTAGCTTTCAGTATGCCAATCTTTGGAAATGGCCACAAAAATTACTGTTTGGCAGAACTCACAAAAATATTTTTTGGTTCTTTGAGTACGTGTAAAACTATTTAAATGTTAAAGTTTCTGTCTTTTATCGCGGGAACGATACGAGTACACTTCTTGAAACGTAGCGCTGTATGTTTAACAAACAAGTGATAGTATTCCACATACGGATTCCCCTTGCCAGAGTGGTGCAGGACGGAGGGCCTGATAAGGACAGTTGTCTAGTCATTTGGATGGTACGAAAAAATGAGGTCCCGTGTATACATTGGCTTGCACGTAAAAGATGACTTGGCAGTTGGAATTTGAAATCAGAGTCCGATATGTGCTAATACCGAAAGGAATCAAGGTCGTTGGATTACAAACATATTTTAAGTTTCATGAAAATCAGATAAAAATTGTGACCTCTAGAGTGTCCACAAGCTAAAACGTGATTTTTCGTACAATCAGGGGCCTTAATCCATGAAGTTACGATCCGATACATGCCAATATCGAAAGGAATCGATATCTTTGGAAGATAATCCTATGTTTCAAATTTCGTCGAAATCGGATAAATATTAAGGACGGACGGACGTCCAAACGGACACTATACGTCCACATAAAAATTTGGGCGTATAAAAATACGGAATTGAAATACATCTTTTACCAACTCGCAAGCTTCCCTCCAAAAGAGAAACTGGCGGCGGAAAATTCCCCCAAGGCACACCGCATTGAGTATGCGCGTTTTCATTAGCCTGGTTGGTTCAGAAAAAATAGGACTCTAAACCCCATTTCACTTTCCTGCAAGGTCCTTTAATCTTTGGAGTAATCCACCCTTGCACATGTAATCTGAAGAGTCCAATGTGACCCCAGAGTACCGTGAATCCTAGCCTATTTAATCCCCACCTTTGATCCCCATTCCAATAATTACAGGAATCGCGTGAATTTCCCGAGGGATTCTTCTACCCAATTACAGTTTTATTATTATTAATTATTTCTCAGTTAACAAAGAAATATGTTTAAATATTAATAACATAAATATGTGAGTTTCTTTTTAACCGATTTATTTGAGTGCAGATTGCAAGTCAACAACACAGACGCCAACTAGCCGCTAGTGCTGTTTATAAAGTCCCCACAGTGCTTATCAAGTTGCTGGGGTTTCTTTAATACACCTCGCCACTTTTCTCTTTTAGAAACAATAATGAGCTACGCCTGCGTTACAGGTAAATCTCGACCATAATCGAGTCATTCTATATACACCAACAGCACAACTACAGTATTCATATATAAGACTCTACGATGGTGGAAGATATACCGAAGCGCAAAGAAAACGTACCATTGATTGTAGATAGTGTTGGCGAAAATTAATAAAGCTGAAATGTGATTTTGGCGTGACTGTGGAATGGGGATTTACCGACTGAAAAGAATCAACAGCTCGTGGGGGAGGGGGTTATACAACACAAGATAATAACAGCTCCTAAACTGGCTCACGTAGGTTGCTAATGATTGTGCCGGACATAAGGGCGTTGATCGGCCCGAAGACTTCCTAGAAGATGCCGGCCAATAATAGGTCCACGTAAAATACTTGAATAGCTGCCACGGTTTAAATTTCCGGGAAGCTATGACGGACATACTTCGGAAGGATAACCCTGACGGCACTCTGACGTTTACAGATTTCGTCCATGAGCTTAAGCAGACGGCTACGTTTGAACCCTACGAGATTGATAAGAGCTACATCAAGCTAATATCATTGGACCTATTATCATCGGGGAAGAAGACACAGGCAGTCTCCAGAGGTTAACTACTAGAATGTCGGTAAAAAAAAACATTCAGAAAATAGGCACGATGTGTTTTTAGCTATGATTAGGATCATATCCTTGAATGACATTTAAAAGTAGGGGTATAATATTCATAATAACACAACATTATAGATTTACTACTTCTTGGTTTATTACATGCAACGTTTCAATACTCTTACAGGTATCTTTATCTAGCAATGATCAATAATGAATAACAACCATACATTTATAGTAAACAATAGTAGCCTCCCTTTTGAAAATAGGATATTTCACGAAAACGGCCTAACAATAAACGATCTGTTAGAATATGCTCAAAAATCTAAAATACAACATAACTGCTTTAAAAGAAGGGTTTCAAAATAAAACAAAATATTCTGGTAATCATTCACTTATTTTTGTCTTCCTAATCATTGACAAATTGTCCTAATATATATACTAAATACAAATAGGGCATTGATATTTAGAAATCTTGAATAAATAAAGGGCATCACTGCAATGTATAAAATCATATAAAATGTTCAACTCTGAAAATGGACATAAGATTAAATTGTTAATAATACATTCACCACCTTTAAATGTTACTATTATGGATGTACAAATATTTACATGAACTATAATATAACCAATAACCCGTGTTTACTATCAAGGAAGTTATTATTATAACATCCACTGTATATTTCTACAGTGTCTATAAGAATCCAACATTTTAAGAATTCCAAGTCGACAATAGTGAACCAGATTTGGTCCATAGCATGCTTATTGTGACTTCTTTCAGAGTCTAAATGACCTAAAACAATATTTTTTCAGTTATTAATTATTGTGTTATTACTATTGATTAATTTGTAGAAATAAATTCCTGGAACAGGGCTAATTATATGGAACTTAACATTTCACCCATAAATTAACAAAAAACAAAACAATAGTAAAATTAACAAGCCAATAGTGAGGCTAAATAAATAGATGACAGATATTAATTTTAAACTTATCATCAAACTTAGTCAAGGTAATTGATATAATGAATCTATACTACATGTTTCCTCACTCTCGCCAAATTAGAACGAAAGTTATTATGTTCCAAATTTTCAACCAATCACATTGCTTATCTCTTCTTAGCCTTAGTGGAAAATGCGCATGGTCGAACACTGTCAAGGCATTCACCTAATAAACACCTACATCAAGTTTGAACATTCTACCTCATTTAGAAGGAGAGTTATTGAGATCCAAAAAGTTTGACAGATTGACAGACAGGCAGACAGGCAGATGAAGCCATACTAATAGTCACCTGCTTTCTCCGAAAGTATGGAGACAACAATTACGTGTACCATCCCACCTCTCTCTATAGATTCAAACTGTGACAAGTAGACTCAAGAATATAGTCACATAACATAACTCTAATTAACATTTTATTCAGTATGACTAGTCATTTGTATTGTTCTGTGTTATTTCTTCAGGTAAATCTCCAATATAAACACAGTCCTGTTGAAATAAAAGGCATATTATGTATCCCATTTATCAATTAAATTCAATCAAAATGGAAGACACGAAAGGCCAACTTATAGTGTAACATTTAGGTTTGATTTCTTGCTTAAGCATAATGGAAATTTACAATTAGGCATATGCCAATCTGATTAAAACACAGATTCTATTTTGTTACATTTTATACAGTTCAAAATTTTGTTTTACTTGTCTTTAACTACACTAGCATCTGGAAGAGTTGTTATATAACCCACGTTCTGGTTGATGTGAGGGATTAGCCAATGAAATGGTCTGTTGCAGCGTTACACGGAACTGTGGGTAACCTACTAGAAACGTCAACGCTGATTGGTTAATCAAATGTCTGGCGTCATAGGGTCAAAAGCCGATCATATGATCCCTGACGCGACTTCCCACTACAACTGGTCAGATCTTCATGTAGTAGAGGCCATCGAAAGTATAAAAGAACAAAACGAAATATAGATCTGTATTTTAATCAGATTGAGCATATGCATGATATTATCACAGCTATCTTGGAATTGTAACATATCAAAAATTGAACTATGTCAATCAATGCACAATTGTCCAAAGAACAAGCATGCCAAATTTCATGTCATTCTTGAATTTCATCTATTGAAGAACTTCACCCTAAGATAACAGAAGAAGATTACCAAGTGTATGCAACCAATTCTTGGTTCAACAATATACAAACAGTATTCTAAACTCTTTGCTTATATTAATAATGTTCAAAAAGAACTCTCATATACAGATAATAAATGCAACAATAGTGTATCAAGTATAATCCCCCAAATATAACACAGGTCATTGTATATATATACTAACTTTCTTAGTTTTAGTTCTTTTAGATGATGGCCATTTTTGCTTCAATACTTGGAAATGTTCTGTCCATGAAGAAATGACATTTGTTAATCTCTCTTTCTGTAATCCATCAAGTTCTGCTTGAAGACTGAAAAATCAATAAAGAAAATATAGACAAGCCAAAAGTGAGGCTGATGTCCCCCGCCGAAATGCCAAAATAAATAGATGACACATATTAATTAATTGCACGTTTATATTTTTCAAAAGTAGTGATCAATCAAACTGATTATCAACTATACACTAAGTTTCATCACTCCCTATCAGACAGAATCAAAGTCAAAGAAATTGCTTAGCTCTGCTTAGCTTTAGCTCGAAATGTTATTTATTGAACTCAGTCACAACATTCCCCTGATGAACATCAACATCAAGTTTAAACATTCTACCTCAATCAAAAGCAGAGTTATGTTCCAAAGTCTTGACCAATCAAATTGCTTATCGCTCCTTAGCCTAAGCAGAAAATTCTTATCAAACTTCGCCAAGGTAATGACATAATGAATCTATACTCAAGTTTCATAGCTCTCACTTAATTATAACCAAAGTTATCGTGCCCAAAAGCATAAACCAATCAAATTGCTTATCTCTGCTTACCATATGCAGACAATGTTCATCATCAAACTCCATCAAGGCAATCAACTAATGAATGCCTACACTAAGTTTGAACATTCTACCTCAACTAGATGGAGAGTTATTGTGTTTCAAAGTCTCGACCAATGTTCATTAAATGTTCATTATCGAACTTAGTCAAGGTATTGTTGATGTAATGAAACTTTACACGAAGTTTGATCACACTCTCACTTAATCAAAACTAAAGTTATTGTGTCCCAAAGCATCAACCAATCAAATTGCTTATCTCTGCTTACCCTAAGCAGAAAATGCTCATCTTCGAACTCCATCAAGGCATCGACCTAATCTAAACCCCTACACTAAGTTTGAACATTCTAGCTCAATTAGAAGGAGAGTTATTGTGTCCCAAAAAGTGTGACAGACGGACCCATTTTAATAGTACCCTGCTTTCTTCGAAAGGTAGGGGACAAAAAATAAAATATGAAAAATTGTGAACAGAATATAATATATGAAATAAACAGATATGAAATAATACAGACAAGAACTGATGAAACACATAATTTAATATGAAATAAACAGATAATATTATCTATTATAAAATAAACAGATAAAACATAAGCTAATATGAAATAAACAGATAATACATATAATATAATATGAAATAAACAGAATACATCTATATAAATAAAATCAAAGATGTGTGTGTGTATGCATGGTCACTGCAATCCACCTCCACATGTGGTATCAAATTAAGCGGAATGGCCCGTGAATATTTTTAGGCCATTCTTTTTTGGCTCAGGGCAAATTTGGGCCCTGGCGAATTGGGACCTGTGCAAATTTGGTCCCCAGACTAAGCCAGGTATCCTGATAGTATAATATAATATGAAATATACAGATAATACATATAATATAAATGAACTGATATATGAATAGAAAATTTAATTTGCACAGATAATATAATGTGGTACTTGAATTCTTGAATAGTCTCTTGTCAATCTGAAGAAAAACATTACCTAATATTTTCTATTTCTGCATTTTGTAAATCTCGTTTTAATGCTCTAGTCCTAATTTGGGCCTAAAAAAATAAACATACACACTACCATTAAGATGGAGATATGCTAAATAACAAGTATGTGAATTGACTCGCAGAGTCATTTGGAATTAATACAAAAAACAATATTTAAAAAAATAAAGATAGCAAAACATTTCTGCCCTCAGCAGCCAAGTGGTCCGAGCGTCAACAAAGGTTGTGAATCTTCAGGTAAATAAAAAGCAAAATCTATATAATAAAACAATCAGAAATTCTTGCAGAAACTTCTATCATTAGAGCTTTTTCAAAGCATTCTGTAAAATAACCAGTATTTTGTTGCACTAAATTAAACAATGCATATGAACTGCAGATTGGCCAATAACTTTTGACACCAGTGTTCACAAGAGTCTTCAAATGGAACAAGGGTCAGATCTCTAGATGGAATGAACGGAATTTTTATCAACTTCTTCATTTGACGGGAGATAGATGACATATATTATCTGCTATACTGGTGATATCAAAAGAAACGTTAATCCTGTCCTCCACTAGGAATGATATGCGTGGCTTACACTGCTTTTATTTGAGGTGACATATAACATGATTTAACTGTATTAAATATGGAAGAATTACCTTTTTAAATCTATTTTCTGCTTTTTTCACAGACTTTATTTTTAATACCTATAGTAGAAAAAAGATATCATTTTATTAGTTCTTATTATACATAGCCAACACTAGAACTCAAAGGGGTAACAACGTGCTTCGGTATGTCACGATAGGTCAGGTCAGGTCAGGTCAGATCACACCTTGTCACGTCAACAATCAAGATACACCATGAATTATTGAGTATAGTAACATCCAATACCTATTAAAGTGGAAAACCCTGTCATTTTGAACTCTTTAATAAAACCGGAAGTTATACTTTATAACCAAACTTTTTTATATTAATTGTTAGTAGGCATCATACAGACAAAGGTCAAGGGTCATTGAAAGGTTAGGTCTCCAGCTAGAAGGTGAAAAGTCGAACAAAATCGAAATTCAAAAATCGGCTCCCTAACAATTGTTGCCATTTGGAGTAGGTTCAATACAAAAAAAAGTTTTTTGAAAATCGGAATTAAAATGGCAGCTAGAAGGTGAAAAGTCGAACAAAATTCAAAGTGAAACTGGATGTAAACAAAATCGAAATTCAAAAATCGGCTCCCTAACAATTGTTGCCATTTGGAGTAGGTTCAATACAAAAATAAGTTTACGAAAATCGGAATAAAATGGCAGCTGAATATCGATTTGAATGTTTTTTGTAAAATCCAATATGGAGGCTAACACCACCAAATGTCATTTTTTGTCAATTTTTAAAATGGAGAGAACTATTCATGTTCGGGAAAAATCGGAAGGCCTCAGTGATTTCCGTCAAAAAATTGTTTAGTATGCCATTTTGAAGGCATCCATGTGTTCCTTATTCCTACCAAGTTTAAATAGTGACAGAGATACGCCATCTTGAATGTCAAAAAATGATGAAGAAAACTTTTGCAAATCTTTGATGCTAATATTAATTGAGCGAACTTCTGAATTTCGAAAAACAGTCAGTCAGAGACTCAGAGCCCAAATGGGATTCGTCCAAAGGATTCAAAACTGAAAACCCGAAGAAGATATGAGAAATAACCGAGATATAGGCAATCTGAGATTATTTTTTGTCCCATCCGTAAAACACTTCCTGTAAAAAATGAACATAATAAAAACACTTACGAAAACAATATGTGTTTCGACCGAAGGTCCGAGACAGTAATAAATCTATCCCACCCAGCATCAGATATAATTCTCTGCTATAATAATCCTTTTACATGAAACTAGTAAGAAGGGGAGTAACTCTCTAATATCATAAAAAGACACTATTAACCCTTTACCACTTGGTACATGTAAAAATTGACCACCACAGTTCCCTGAAGAAAATTAGGGAAAAGTTATATATCAATACCTGTACATTTCTAAACAGACAGAAACAGTCCAAAACTACTGGTCTTTAGACACCTTTAAACAGACAGATGTTTTCTGATATATAGGATCATTTTGCGTGTGTCATAGCTGTGAACATTACAGGTCGGTTAGGGACAGTTTAAGGAGAGCTAGTTAGTTAGGAAGGTTTAGGGCAGTCTAAGGAGAACTAGTTGGGGCATTTTTCCAGGTGATCATTTAGCAGTGGATAAATACAACTATAAAATTTAGTGTATCAATAATTGTTATGCAAGAAGAAATTGGATCCCAACCAGTCTTGATAATCAGGTCCTCTTGCTGTGTCACTGAGCGTCTTGAAAGACCAACTAACCAACTGTCAAGGAATCTTTTACGTGCAAGCCAATGTTTACACGAGACCTCAGTTTTTCATCCCATCCGAACGACTAGACAGCTGTCCTTGTCAGACCCTCCGTCCTGCATCACTGACAAGGTGGAACTTTCTTGGCCAATGCAGGGATCAAAAACACCCAGCCGCCAGGCTAGCGAGCAAGCGTCTTACCCACTTAGCCACCGCGACCCCCAAAATTAATTGAAGATTAACAGAAATACATCAACATTTAAGCAAATGCTTTCATGTAGAAAACAAGATAACTTTGTTGTTACTTACTGTATTTTTTAGTTCAGATTTTACCATTGAAATAAATTTCTCTGTCGCTTTCCTACACTGAACACCCTCACTTAAATTAAAAAAAAGATAGGTTGCCAGGCAACAAAACATACGCCCACAGCAGCTAAATCGTCCAAGCAGTCGACAAGGGTTGTCACATATTTATTCTTTTGTAGGTAATTAGGGGAATTTAATAGACAATTTCATACAGATGACATTATAATTTTCGTTGTTTGAAGGTTCACAAGGTTCTAAAAACTAAAACAAGGGCCGTAACTCTGGAAGCAATCTACAGAAATTGTTCAAATTCGACAGGCTTTTTTTTGTTTTACTAATTCAAATAATGCATATAAATTTCATACAGATCAGATGATAACTTTTGTTGTTCGAAAGTTCACAAAGTTCAACAAAGTAAATCAAGGGCCATAACTCTAGACGTAATTGATGGAAATTGCTGACATTCAATAGGCTTGTTCGTCTTCATTTCACTAATTGAGGTGATAACTGAAACTCAATAGGCTTGTTCATTTTACTAATTTAAATGATACATATAAATTTCATACAGATCGGATAATAACAAGGTACAACAAAGTGAAACAAGGGCCATAACTCCAGAAGAAATTAACAGAAATTGCTGAAATTTGATAGGCTTCTTCATTTCATTAATTTAAATGATGCACACCAATTTCATACAGATCGATTGATAACTTTTGTCATTAGAGCGTTCACAAGATTCAACAAAGTGAAACAAGGGCCATAACTCTAGATGTAATTAACGGAAATTGCTGAAATTCAATAGGCTTCTTTGTTTTACTAATTTAAATGATGCATATAAATTTCATACAGATCGGTTGATAACTTTTGTCGTTAGAGCATTCACAAGGTGCAACAAAGTGAAACAAGGGCCATAAATCCAGAAGAAATTAACGGAAGTTATTGAAATTAAATAGGCTTCTTCATCTCACTAATGCAAACAACATATATCAATTTCAAAACAATCGGTTGTTAAATGTAGTCTGTAGGGTTGTTCACAAGAAATTGTGGACGATGGACGGACGGACGGACGGGGGCGACGGCAATATATGACCACATTTCCATGTGGGCGTATAAAAATGAATTATACCAACTCAAGTAAGGTTTCAAAATATTGTCGTTGTGGACTATTAGGGGTGATGATTTTCCGTGATCGCGGAAAAAACGCGGAAATCGCGGAATTGTCCACTCAAAACGGAATTTGAAATCTCACACGGAAAAAGACGGAAAAGCCGATATTTGCTGATACTAAACACAAACTCAAAATAATTTTGCAGTTATCCAAGTATTTCATCTTTTTATTCATAAAAATCGGAAATATTGAATGATATCGCGTGGTTTTGTTACTGTCTATTTTAGTATTTCGCTACTTTCATTTCATCATTTAGGAATCATAATTTTAATCGAAACGAAAACCCGTCTTTCATGTATTCCATTATAAAATTACTCTGTAGTTTAACTTGAATTAAACATTGTAATGTATATATATGTCTTTAAAAAATCTTGTCACTTCATAAAAGTAAAAATCGTTTCATTTACTTCTTATTTTACTGCCGGGCTCGTGACTCGTGTTTATCCGCATTAACCACGTGACATCAGAAATATACCGTAGCCTTGTGAATCCAGCCCTTATTCTCGAAGAAACGGTAGTAACTACGAAGATGTCTGGATAAATCGCGACTACACCTAGGAGCTGAGAAAAATGGCTTCGTCTGCTAAAAAGATGAAACGAGCTCACAAGATGTAATTTTGTTATTTAATTCGGGAAACAGGTTTAAAGAATAACTAGTCATTGAACATTACAAGTCGTTCACAATTCAACATTTGTTATCATTGGTTTAAAATGATCCGTTTTGTAATAAAAGGCATTTTAAGATGTTTTATTCATTTATTCATAAAATAACATTTTATCTCGAAAAAACGGAATATGGTCAGCTCTGAAACGGAAAATAACGGAATTAAAAATACTTAAAACGGAATTTGCTATTTTCTGAAACGGAAAATCATCACCCCTAGACTATATTGAGTCAAATTATTCAGGAAATTAAGAAAACACACAATATTATAAGAAAACATCATGTCTAAATGTCCTACGCAAAATGTTACATTTTCAAAGATTTTCTCAAATATTCTACACTAATCCCCCAGAGCTGAAATAAGAAGCGAAAGTGAAGAAATAATAGTTTTATAAAGTAAAGCAGAAGATCTGATGCACACCAAAATCAAACCCATCACTGATCTTTTGATCATTAACATATATTTTAAGTTCCATTTGAATTGGGACACAAATTTTGGGCTATAGATCTCGACCTTCCACAATAATAGGAAATAATAGTTTTATAAAGTAAAGCAGAAGATCTCATGCACACCAAAATCAAACCCATCACTGATCTTTTGATCATTAACATATATTTTAAGTTCCATCTGAATTGGGACACAAATTTTGGGCTATAAATCTAGACCTTCCACAAACTTTGTACATATTTCATATTTTGCATAAATAAAAGACAGTGGCCATAACCCAAGTATTTGCAATCTACACATCATATTTTTAGGGAAAGATTATCTGAGAACCAGAATAAATTTGGTATGGCCTAAATGTAAAGTTTATTACCTGGTATTAACATCTGTATCAGGTATATTATTTAATATAACATCTATGTCTGTTATATCAGTAACTGTTCTAGTTTCACCTTCTTCACACCACAAGGACATTAATTTAGCTACAATAACAGTACTTGTATATCAGTGATATGATGATACACACAGAGGCGTAGCCGTGAAATATATATTGGGGGGGGGGTCCGCAACCCTAATCCCTAACCCTTTTTTAAAACCCCTAAAAAATATAAACAAACACCATGTGGCCATGCTGTCTACACATCTCGTTTGCTGATTGGCCCAGACACCGCCAACTTGGCTGACTGAGCGGGCAATAAATATTTGGTTTAGGCGATAATGTTTTTGGGTACCTACATGCGATTCACTCTGATAAGTGGCAGAAAAGAATTAACAAAATATTACTGACAGGCTAACTAGACACAATTTTATGGAACACAGTTACTTTTCACTTCACACATGTTTCCGGGTTGATTCTCTCTGTGTTATATTTTAGCAATGTAAACCATATTGGGATATGTACAGGTTTTATGCAGATAGAATCTTAACTAATCCTAATAATTTTTGTAAATAAATAGGAGTTAGGGTTTACTATGTAAATTTTGGGTGGGGGTCCAAGTATATTCAGACCCCCCCTATGTGTGACACCCATGGATACACAGTAAAACATCAATATTTTTAAACCGCTTACATCCCTATTCTTCTGCACCAACTCAGCTAATGAAGATGGGTATACACCATACAGTATGCTATAAATTTGCCTTGACAGCAATGAGGGCTCACACTGGCTTTCAATTTTTTTCCGCCAAAATAGATGATAATTTTTATATAAAAAAAATGTTCATATTTTTTTCCGCCAACTGGAATATTTTATCTGCCAAAAATGTGTGATAAAAAAGACAACACCTAACAATTTTTTGTCTCGGCTAGGCTTATTATAAAACAATTACCGATATATACAATACAATATACAACTTTAAAAATCTGTCTTTACATAATAGATTAGTAAAGTTTTGATTTAATAAGATCACATTTTATTTTTGGTGACTTTAGTCTATTTGAACACCGTACTGCACAATATATTTTCAGTATTAACACCTCAAATCTCATCCAAGGATTGCCAATTTTCTATAAATTTATGTGCTGCGTGCACAATGGGCCTATTGTTATTTTCAGGTACCGTAAAGGCATCAGAATCTAAATCCCTGATAGAATATTAGAATGGTATAAATTTCAATTATATTTGTTAAGAGATACTTAACAATATACCCGTTGTTAACTTTTAGAGCATTCTGGCGACGGTAATATGAAACAAATGGCAAATTGTTTTCTCGCTTAAGAATCGTCACTATTCAACTCGTTCTTATGTTTTCGACCAGTGGGGATATTATAATTTGAAATAATGATATCCGATATGCATGCTTGTATTTTTTACATGCCGTATATGAAGCCACTGTAAACCAATTCAGGTATCAAAATATTTAATTCTCTTAGCAAGGAACTGTCGGTCATTTTGATTACATGTATATTATTTTTTTTTTTAAGACGAACGAAACATCAAATAATTACGGCTAGGATTAATCATTAGGAGTAAATTGTGACTTGACATAGGCTTTATATATATCATTGGCAATTATCAATCAATTAATCATTAATCCAAGACAATTGATTAGTATTACTCATTGACGCGATCCGGATTATCAGCCAGTTGATTAATTTATAGTATCCTGCCATGTGATTGACACTCAATAATGGTTAATTCAGGATAAATACGATTAGAATCTTAAGATTTTTTTCCACCAGTTCTAAAAAAGAATCTGCAGTACCGCAAAACATAATCGCCAAAATTATCGTCAAAATCAAATTTTAATTGCCACTTTCATATTTTTATCGCAAATTGCGACTTTGGCGACCGACAGTGTGAGCCCTGACAGCAATATTTCTGTCTACCCTTTAAGGAATTCCAAATGACATCGGTTCTTTGACAACCATGCCAAAGAGTACACAGGTGGACCTTGGTGTTTTTTGTTTCAGCTCTGTCAAACACCACTGACAAGAGGTAGCCAGACTTTAAAAATACATCGGAAGTTTCTTAGCCACACCGGGACTGAATTGGTGCCATACCAATGTATCATCTACACTAGAATACAGTCTAGAATAAATACAAATTTCTTTCTATTATAATAAAAGACGTGTATACATATGTCTATATCAAGTTTGCATGTGATAATATATTTATCTTACCTTCCTCCAACTTTTTATTTTTACCACTTTTAGATGTTGATGGTTCAGTATCATTATACTTTAAAAATAAAATAATAGATATCAAAGAAATACATAATTCTCTACAGTTTATAAAATATCAAGTTCTTCTCCCCAGCCATCCATACATCTATAGATAGCATAATTATAAGATGCTAAGATTACATACAAGAATCTGCAAGTAGGAATCTCATATTTTACAATTTATACTTTCATAATCTTGCTAAAATAGCTGAAATTTATCTACCGTATAAGTACTGTCAAACAGCAAATATAAGCCAAAAAGAAAATAATGTGTTAATTCAATCAGTCATCGCCGGCATTAATTTCAATGTAATTCTGACAATATAATAGTTAATTTACTACTTTTTTTACTGTAAAATTGTGTTTAGAATATGTTAAACATATTCTATCACATATATAAAATTGCATTTAGAATCTGTTAAATCTATTCTATCACATATGTTAAATTGGTGGGACACCAAAAATGTCCTTTAAATTAATAACTTCTCTTCCTTTCATATGATCATTGAATGATTCAATAGTAAATTACTTACTGATAACGCACGTGAAATTGTACTTGATTGCTTGCTTCTACCAGATGGTGTATTAATCACACTATTATTATTATTAGCCTTTCTTTTTCTTTTACTTGCATTCGGACTAAAGTCAGGTTTCTTTAATGCTAAATGTTTCAAAGAACCAATAAAACTTTTGCGTTTTTGTGAAGCATTTGAAGTGTTTAGGTCAATACTTCGACTGGGACTAGCACTGACAATATTATTATATTTTGATGTAGGCCTAGATCGATTTTTATCTGGCTGGGATTTGGTTACAGTCTGAGATATATTTGAATAATCACTGTGAATATCGTCTACATGCACATCTCTATTTGTATTATCCATCATAATTTCAACACAGTCTGATGATGATCCTACAGCAGACGTTTGATCTAATTGTTCTTTCTGTGTTTGATCTAATTGTTCTTTCTGCGTTTTCAGAGCATATTTTTTGCCTTTTAAATCAGATACAGCTTTGTCCTTTTGAGTATTGTTTATTGTATTGTACGAAAATAAATCAGTGAAAGTTTTATTTGACTTTTGTGTTTTTGTGCTGCTAGAATTATTACTTGGAGAAGATCCTAGTATAGTGCAGATAGATTGGCTATCTCTACTTTCTCTCCGACGATTTCTAGTATCACTACTGGGACCAGATTCCGGAGACATTATCAATGAGGCTTTTATTGTGCTTGGTCTAGTTGTTTTAATATTCTGTCTCTTTTCAATATTTGCTTTTTTTGATCTGAATGATGTCTTAGATACTGATTTACTATATACAGGAGGATCAGAATCTGAAGAGCCTTCAACTACAACAGCATCAGATGTTAGTTTAGAAGGTAGCTTAGAATGAACAAATTTCTTCTGGGCAGTTGATTTATTGAAAGCTGGTTCAGAATCCGAGGAACTTCTTATGATCTGTAAATCTCGATTATTCAATTGTGTTGACTTTAAACCATATTTCAACTTATCAAGTTGCTTTGCTGTTTTCTTTTTCTTTGTTGTTTTTGTGTTGCCTAGTTTCTTAGAATTTGGATTTGAATCACTAGATCTGCTAGACCTTGATCGAAGAGATCTTCCATTACACAGATGGGTAGATTCAATATCGGAACTAGACGACATCTTCAAGTTTTGTTCCATTAACTCTAAAACTTCCTTTGATAATTTTGTCTTTTTGTTCAATTCCTTGGGCATAGTTGCTGCTGATTTTTTCACAGTTTCTTGAGATATTTTTGTTAAAGAATTTGTCACTGTTTCTGCTTCCTTTTGCACATATTCTACAGATGATCTTTCTTTAAGTTTTTCAACATTTGCAGACATTTGTAATTTTATACAAGTGTTTTCCACACAGTTTGTAGTTTTTGCCACTACATTTTGTTCCTTAACTCCATGTGCATCTTCCGTCAGCAAAACACTTGTTTTTAACGGTTGTCTGTTTTGTTTTTGTTTTTTGTCAGACATTAAGATTGTTCTGGAAATTCTTGGTGTAGAAGTACATAATGGTGGTCTGAATAAGAACTGCTTAGGCGTTTCTACATTGCCATGAAGCTGTTTTGGCGGAATGGGGTCTTCTTCTGGAGTAAACACTATTGGTGATACAGCAGAAGTTTGAAAGCTTATTGGTTTATTGGATAATTCTGGATCATTTTCTTTGTTTTTATCATTATCCTCTACATCTGGGAAGAAAAAGAGACATGTTATTAGAAGATCAATTAACTTAATTATCATACGCAATACAGCTGGTATTTTTGAAACTAACATATAATTATTCTTTCTAATGATCCACTCGTTAACATGGAGTTAATGGATCGTTATCTTTAACTTTAAAATGCTGTTAACTTGCCGTTATATTTAACAGAGGTATTGGGCTCCGTAATCTGTTTAACAATGGCATTAGTCTGTTGTCAGTCGAAGAATACCCTTAGCAAAAAGTCCTAGAACATTCTAGAGGATTGGATGATTGGGGGGGGGGGGGATGGGCCTTATAGTATTCTACAGAATTTTGGGGCCTGTAGGAATTAATGGCCACATCTTTTCTACAGTTTCTGTACTGCAAATCCCATAATTTTTCCTACAGATTTATGCTAAAATTTCTAAAGGAAAATATAAAGTATTCTATAGTATTTTTATAGAATTTTCTGTAGTAAATTCTACAGTTATCTTTTTGTCTTTCATCAAGTTTTGTGAACAGACTGCACAGTTGTCCCACCTTCTTCAGTTCTTGTTAATACTAACTTCTATGAAGTTGCTATACACATACATTGAATTTAAAAATTTCAAATTCAGCCAAAGAACAAACATTCTTCACTTGGATTAACTTTAATCAGTTAGCTTACGGATAATGGAATTGATTTTCCAACAGAAATTTAACGGACCATTAACAAACAACACGTTAGCAAGATAACGATCCATTAGTGGTTAACACATCACAATTAGTGTATGTAAACAAACAAGAGATTGCCATGCCAGATACACCCACATTTTGCAAGAGATGGACAGAGAACAAGCGAAAAAAAATGAAAACACGATTTTTCGTGCAATCAGGGGCCATAATGGAGGAAGCTGTGGTTTGAAATGCGCAAATATCAAAAAGAACTGAGATCTTTGGGATATAAACATATATTTTAAGTTTCATCAAAATCAGACAAAAATTTGACCCCTAGAGGGTCCACAACCTTGGTATTACATACTTTTAAACTATTTGCATACAAGGAGCAACGAATTTGTTGGGCAGTTTCGTTTTAATTTTCATGAAATTCAAACCCACACTATCATTATGGTGTAACAGTGATATAATAAACAGTTTTTTTAAAATAGGATAAAAATTGTGACCTCTAGAGAGCAAACAAGCTAAAAACGTGATTTTTTTTATTCAATCTGGGGATTAATCCAGGAAGTTAAGGTCTGATACGCGCAAATATCGAAAGGAAACATAAAAGCACAAAAAATACCATAATCCAAATATAAGAAATGTTTGTAACACAATATTATTATCATCACTATCACTACTAGTACATATAATTATCCTTATTCCAATCTATTGTGTACACAATGTTGTTCTTAACAACATAAAATTTAATATGAAAAATACACAAAAATTCGAACATAAAAACACAAATTAAAATCATAATCCAAAAGTGAGAAATGGTTATAACAAAATAGCATCATCATCACTATCACTGTAATCACAGTTTACCGGTACATTAGGATTGTAAATGTTGAATTCTTGGTTGATAAAAAGTCTTGTAAGCTTAAAATCCTCTGATAGTATATAACAAGATGACTAGTCATCACCATCCTGCGACCTTGGAAGGCATAAAACAACTTCTTGGAATATCAATGGGACTAGTCAGTAGATTCATACTCTGATCACAGTAGGTCAGCAAGGCGGGGTCGCTACTCCCTGTAATGTTTGCACAACAACTTTTGCCTACCTCAATCAGCTGCTGTATGTTAAACAAGCTTAAGCATCCGAAAATAATATACTATAATAGGTTGATGTTTGTACAAAGTTTCAAAAAGATTTCTTGAACGGATAATAATGAAATATGCTCTGGAAATGAAATCAGGACGGAAGGACAGTCGTCAGAAATTAAATTAATAGGTAGATGAATATAAAATGGGCATATAAAAAATTATTTTCACAAATCCGGTAGGCTTAGAGTATTCTGAAAATACTCTGAAAGCATCTCAGACGATCTAGACCCCCAGGAACTTCGGAGGCCTAGTCGGCCCCTGGACCCTCAGCTAAAGTCACAGGATGGTAGCCCTCCCTAATTAAGAATGGCGTCTGCCGGCCCTGTTATCGGAAACAGAACATTACTTCTTTTTTTTTACCTTATTGTTCCACATGATTTGTTGTGCTTTTGCATATATGGTAACTTGGTCAAACACTAAAACAATATGTTCAAGTTTCAAGTCAAAATAATCTCACACAATAACAGTTGACACATTCTTTGCAAATCTTACTGGGAGGTTCCATCCTAAAGAAATCTGTAATTGTGCTAAACTTGTTTCAAAGAATATAATAGATGACTTAGAGGCACAGTGTCAAAATTTGCTTAAAATGTCTAATACTTGAGATGATCCAGTTAAATGTCTAACAGATAAAGATAAAGATAGGGAATTTGGTGTTGTTTTTTACCCTCTTGATGCTAAGTACACAATATCTTGGCATAAAGAAACAATTCTTCTTTCAATATTTCGTTGTAATTCTAATGTTTCACTAATGGTTCGGTCTTCTGAATACCCAGTGCACCAGACCAAAAAATTATAAAGTTCCACAGGTACAACTGCAGCACATGCTTCAAGAGTAAAATGTTCAGCTGTAGGGGGCCTTGGTGATGCCAAATTAGAATGATAATGTAGAGAATTCCGAATCAATAAGCTGGCATCATATAAAGTTTGTGTTAGATTTAGTTCCTCAAATGGAATTTGACATTGTTGACTAAGAATTGATTGCACGTTAGTAACTACTGTATCAGAAGATGGTGTTGGCAGCTGATCCAGTAAATTTTCGTCAGGTAAAGCGTCAACGAATACCATTTCGCTTTTAACTGTATGTAGTGGGGAATGAAATGATAACTGCGGATAATCTCTTCTTAACTGTTGTTTTAAACTATCAGCTCTGAAATAAATGAACAATGAATCAATGAATCAACGAATGAAATAAAGTTTATTATTCAGTCAACACCTAGGTGGGTTATATCAGGACAAACAAAAGTTTATTTATATTCTCTGGTGAGCTGTGGTATTTGGAAAACTCCCCTAGGATATCGAATGTGTGCTGTCAATTTGTACACAGGACTTCATTTATCATCTTAATCAAGAGGACTAGTGGCTTGTTTTCTCATCGGCCCCACTGAGCAAACGACTAATCTCGATACAATAAGAATAAAACAAAATGTAGATTTACTAGATTAACAACTTTCTAAACATTTTTTTTTTCAGCTAACTTAGGCTGACCTTAAAAATATCTTTGTTTCGCCTAACGCGACCGACTAACTAAAACCACCCCTGACTTCAATTATTTTATTGCACTTTTCCACGATCTTTTTATTTTATTTTGTGTGTCAACCTGAAATATATCATGAGAGTTATTTCCCTTTACTATGGCTATGGTTTGATTCATTATTGAAACTGGTTGATCAAGACGAAAGCGTCATAGGTGTCGCTTCTCAACAAAATGGTTGCAGACGAATACACGTCCATTCCCACGAAATGATTCTGTCTCTATGTCTGTGGTGCGTAGTTTTAAACATGACGACGATATTTTCAATATCCGTTTTCGAGAAAAATGAAGGCACAACCGGCATTATCGTTAAAAACGTGTTGAAGGAGTTTCACACTTCAAGTTCGTGGCAAATCGTGTGCGAGTCGGGCATCACGAAAAATCCCGATGTCATTGATTTGTTTGCCAATAAAGAATACGAATGTTTCCACCCGGAAAATTATTAAGCTGTCAAATTAGCTCTTAAGTTTAATAAAATTTTCAGTTCGTTACTTTTTACGTCAGACCCCAAATTCATTAAACAAAATTAATGAATCTGTAGTATACAGCTAATAAGTTTTCTGTATTGATTTCTCTGACCTTAAAAAAAAATCTGAAAAAAAACCCGACCTACCGACCCTTCTCCTCGATTGTGGGTCGGGTTTGGTGAAACAAAGATATTTTTAAGGTCAGCCTTACTTTGGCAAACCAGTGTCTGGTCCTTCTAACTGTGCTATCATTTGATGAAATATTGATGTCAATCTTGTCATTCTCATAATCTCTTGAGCTTGAATTATCTTATCGTCAACAATCTGTCGTCTAAATGCATCATATGCTACACCTAATGTTTTATCAACCTTTGAACTGGAATTGAAAGAATATTTCAATTGATAATCATCTTTGTTTAATAGTTGGTTGATATGTAATGAGAATAAAACATTGTCTCGCCATGGACCGTATCCATGGTCTCGCTAACCCGAGGGTCACTGGTTCAATCAATCTGATTAAAACACAGATCTTATTTCGTTTTGTTTTTTATAGTTCAAAATTTCGTTTTACTTGTCTGTACTACACTAGGATCTGGAAGAGTTGTTATATAACTCACGTTCTGGTTTATGTGAGAGATTAGCCAATCAAACAGTCTGTTGCAGTGAGTTCTTGGCATGCAATGCACGGAACTGTGGGTATCCTACTAGGAACATCAACGCTGATTAGTTAATCAAATGTCTGACATCATCAGGGCTGCCGACAACCAGTATCGCAGCGCAATTTGCGATGCATATTTTGTCCATTGCTAATCAAAAATTAAAATCTAAAGTTTTTGATTCGCAGTAACTGCGAATCATTAATATGCCTGTCATTTTGGATATTGACACAAGGATAATCCACATTTGAAGACTAGAAGGCTTTCTCAACACTTTCAACGTGTATAAAATGTTGAATAAAATTTTATAAACAAAACTCAATTCTCCGTGTGACATTTTCTTCTCGAACTACCCAGACACAATTCATTATACGGTACTATATAATACAGGGACATAACTCTATGAATAGGGACTATTAAACCGGAAATAGGGAATCAAGTAGTACCACTCACGTTGTGAGACATCAAGTAATTATATCATATTCATTTTGAAAGAAATAAATCCAGTGTTCCCCCACGTATTGTAAATAAAATATAAAAAAATAAATATATGTTAACGTATTGTAAAATGATAAATCAAAGTAAAAATTCCCGTAAAATATTATTGTTTATATCGCGTGTGTCTAGTTAATCGAGGTGCGACCGATTGAACAAAAATAGTAATACACGATAAAAAGCAGACGAAATTATTTTCTAACGAAGATTTCTAACGTAACGAAAAAATAACAATTAAAATGATTGGGGCTTCGGAAGTCATTGTCAAAAATTGGCTTCATACATAAAACCCAACTAAATGTCTACATCACATTCACAAACTATCACAAATACTTGTGGCAGTGCTAAAAAATCTAAGAATGGAATCTAATCATATGTGTTATGAACTAAAGTAATATCTTGTTATTTAGGTGTTTTATGTTGAAACTGAAAAACTGCTAATCAATTTTTAAATTTGCTAATCAAATTTGCAAAATTGGACTTTTTGATTAGCAGTGCTGCTAATCAACCGTGAAAAATTACCGACAGCCCTGGACATCATAGGGTCAAAAGCTGCTTGTATGACCCGACACCCCACTAGTTATAGTCCGGTATGTGCACAAATATCATAAGGAATCAAACTCTCTGATAAAAAATTCTGACCTCTATTGGGTCCACAACTTTGGTATTACATACTTTTAGACTATTTACATATAAGGAGCGGGCATTATGTCGGGCAGTTGCGGTCTGATTTTCACAAAATTCAAACTCAACAGTCATTAGGTTATAACACTGATATACCTTTTTTAAAATCGGATAAAAATTGTGACATCTAAAGGTTCCACAAGCTAAAAACTGGATTTTTTTGGTACAATCAGGGGCCATAATTCCGGAAGTTACGATCTTATGTCCATGAATATCGAAAGGATATAAACATATATTTCAAGTTTTGTCAAAATCAAATAAAAATTGTGACCTGTAGAGTGTCCACAAACAAATTGTGAACAGACACACGGACATGAAATGTGGGTGTATAAAAAGGACATACCTTTGGACTTTAATATTTCTAAGAAAATTTGTGTACTTTCTGTAGCAATATGCATGGTACCGGACCTCAATGGCCACACAATTTTTCCCTCTAATATGTAATAAAATATTCTCATCAGCTTTCATTTCTGCAGCTGTACGTAACTGGCCTGAAAAATCAGATGAATAATAGTTTTACTTATACAATTTTTCAAAATTAAATTAAACAAATAAAATGTATGGTTTAATATCCTATTTATCTACTTCGACTAGGTTAATGAAAAAGGGTCTTCACCATACAGTGTGCTATGAGGGGAAATTGTACCTGGTTTTGTTATGCACAAGCCAACATGTACACAGGACCATCTAGCTAGTCACTTTTTGTTGACGGGCCCTATGTCCTGAAAAACTGACAAGTGGGAACTTTCTCAGCCAACACAGGCATCAAAACCGGGACCTCCTAGTTAGTTAACAAGCCCATTAGTCACTGAGCCACCATGGCTTCCATCCAAAATGAAATTAAATAAACAATGACTATTATAATATTATAAACATGATCTACCTACCAGCATCTTCAGTTTCAGCCTGTACTAATTTATCTTTCTGCCTTTTATATGCAACAGTTCGAAATATATCCTTCTTTTTACATATAATGCATAATCCTGGTAGAACAGACTGGCTTTTTGTTGAACTAGATGATGCTTTTGTACATTTTGACAAACTACTCTTCTGAATGTGTGCCCAGGGTGATATTTCTTCTTCACTACTTCCACTACTTTGTGGTTTCATTGATTTATTTTTAAATCTCTTCTGTGCTTGTTGAATTCCTGTTTTATCTGTAAATCGGCAATAATATAGCAGGTAAAAACCTATATATTCTTTATCCTTTATGGTTTCAAAATTCTTGGACAACAAATCTTGAGCTGATTCAGCCATAACTTTTTCATACGCTATGTATAATGTCAGCCATTCACAGCACTTGTCCTAAATTTGTCCCATCTGACTTTGGTAAGGGCTTGTGAACCTTCCACTTAAATAATGGATTTTCTCTTTACTTTTGGTGAATTTCCCTTGGCTTTCTCCATGTTTTCCTTTTTTAAATTATGCTGATTGGTCCAAACGCATCACAACCATTTTAGTTAACATCAACTGTATCACACCAACCTTTTTGTTTGATTGAGCGGAGATATATAAAGCGCGAAATTTGAAAATGGATTTTATCAATACTGCGAGATATTTTCCTAGGAAAACTCATTTTTGGAATGAGAATCAGTAATAAACTTAATCTTTCACTGAAATTTTGATGTCCTTTTTAATGAAGCAAAGATGGCAAAAAATTTGATGTCAGCTACTGGTCTACAAGTTCAAACTACACCAGAATTAAATCTATTTCCACATTTATTTTTAAATGGACGAATACAAAACCAATCTTATCATTAATAAACACATACCTGTAGATATTACCCATGATCGTTAGTTACAAAATGCTTTCTTGTGCCAATCTTAAATAAGGCTTTCCAACTTACGACGAAATATTAAGCTAAATTTTAGATAACATTTATTTGTATGGCAATTATCTTCCAAGTTCAGAGAAGTGGAAGGTAGATATTGAAGATCATATAAATCAAAAATAGTGAAAAAAACAAAATAAAAAGTTTACCATTCTTAAAGGGTGAAACTGAATGAGTTAATTTTTTTTTTGATAATTTGACATCTGTTAACTTTACATCAGATGCTTGCATGGTAAAATCAACTTCATCAACAGCCTTATTGATATCACTGCTCGTTTCTCCTTCATTTTCATCAGCCTCTAAAAAATTGTATCACATTTATAAGATAATAAATTTCTATAGAAAAATGCTACTACTTTATTTAATTTTCATGCTGATGATAACTATTTCCAAAACCAAATATGGTCATTTTATCACAAGAGGTAAAAGAGGTCCTGTCCTTATGGTGTTTTTCCAAAAAAGTTAAATCTGAACAATCCGATTCAGCAGGGGTCGAATTCAATGTAATGTTTACCAACCTACCTGTCTGTAGGTGTATAAAATTGAGCTAAATGTGTGAACATGTTTCCATCGCATAAAATGTATTAAAGATAGGTTGCCAGGCAACGAAACATACGCCCACAGCAGCTAAATCGTCCGGGCAGTCAACAAGAGTTGTCACATATTTTTACTTTTTTCGGTAATGAAACATTTATAATACACTAAAATCTGATTTAGAGTAACAACTCATTAAGTAATTATCAGAAAATCATTAGAATTTGTTTGGTTTTCATAAAGTTCTGTCCCATGCTAACGTTTAGTATACGAAACATCTCATATCATGGATTTAGCTGTTCAAGCTATCAAAATTCATTGAAAATCGATATACTTGTTCGTCTCAAGACCTTAAACTCTGTGTATCAATCTGAAGTCAATCGGATGATAACTTTGGCCTATAGAGCGTCGCAAGGATTTTCAAAGTGATCATGGGCCAGTGAAATGGGGTTTAACGTCCACTCGACACAGGCTAGGTCATTTCGAACTAACATGTTTTTTTTAACTTTTTATTTCAATAATTCGCTTGCGCGTAGGGGTCTTTAGCAGTGTGAGGAAATCGGAGGACCCACAGAAAACCCACGAGGTTGGACAGGCATTCCTACTCCTTGTCTCGTACAACCAGGGATTCGAAATCACGGCAGTTGACTCAATGACAGGCCTCGTGATACAGCGCGTGCGTGCTTACCATTTGGCCATCCAACACACACACCCCCACACCCCCAACGTCAATCGGATATTAAATTTGGTCTCTAGAGCGTCCACAAGATTTTTTTGAAGTGATCAAGGGCCATAACTCTGGCAGTAATTATCGGAAATTGCTGAAAATCAACAGGCTTCTTCGTCTCATGATCTTAAACACTGTGTATAAATGTAAAGTCAATCGGATATTAACTTTAGCCTCTAGAGCATCCACAAGCAACGAATGGGGGCGACGACAATATACGACCACATTTCAATGTGGGCGTATAAAAACAGATCTATTGGTATACTAACCTTCTAGATCTTGTTGTAGAAGTGGTAGATCTTCTTCTGATAAAAGAGGCTTACCAGTATCTTTATCAACTTTCGTTAAATCTATTAAAATATTACATCAAATTACCTTACAGGTAGGTTCCAGTGACTTTTGTGAGCTAATTACTTTGAAAATTTTGGGGATCATTTGTATTTCCTTGATAATCACCCCTAAATCATAAGCCCTATCAATTCCCGTTAAATTTTCAATATAGCAGATCAACTCCCTTTCATTTCGGCACTGAGGTTTCAAAAAAAAAAAAGAAGAAAAGGCAAAGGCTTGCTTGTGGACAGCTTTTTGTATCTCCCACTAAGACACATAACACAAGATATATGGATACTACCACTACTAGTTTATTACCAATGACAGAATAATCTCTTTAACTTTCGCTTTCTGGTAGAAACACTGACAGAACTGCAGTTTCACAGACTCTCAATTTTCTGTGCTGCGGAAGTCATACAAACATTTGCCATTCTTCAAGCAGCAGGATTTTTAAACTTACCATTTTCATCTGTGACTGGTTGAATAACATTTTGTTCTTTTGAGAGATCAGAATTCTTGTCAATAATCTGAAATTAAATGTATTTTATTACTTATCAGCAAAAAAAGTTTTCATAGGCCGACATAGACTTAAAATTTAATGTAAAACTAAGCACTGCCAGTAACCTTTTTGGAAATAAAGCGAGTTTAACGGTTCACAAACACAATACTTTAGTAATTTTGAAACTACATTGTAATATACAGCTATTTTTTATGTCGTCACATGTGCAAGGTTTTGTGGGGGGGGGGGGGAATTTTGTCCAGACAACAGCGTTTCTGTCAATATGTCATTGTATTCCAAGTGTTAATGGTTATTTGATGTGCAGGCTTGGCTTTTTCAAACGACGAGGCTGCACTTCACTTGACAAGTTGGAACAGGACTTGAAACATCCTGAGGTGCTTCTAGGCTAGCTATTTGAAGCTGGCTTCAGGGTCATGGGCTTTCACTATGCATAAAATTAATAGGCAAGATTGTATTTCAATAGGGTTCATCTCTTTATGATTGAAACCTGAGACCTGCAGGGCACTTACAAGGTTTCAGAGCTGTGTGAATTAAAAACAGAGCTTCTCTTTAGGACAAGAAGAAAAATTCAAGCAAGTTGGAATAAAAATATCTGGAGTGCTTACGATTTTGGTGAAAGGGACAGTGCTGCCAAAATTTGCTGCATAATGACTGGCAAAACAATTGCTCCCAGTTTTAAAATAAAAACATTAAAAAGTCTAACCTGTAGAATGTTCACAAGGTTTTGGTGACAGGGGCAGCAATTCATTGCACAAATTTAAATTTTTGATAGGGTTCCTCACAGCACAAATCTCAAAAACACAGACTTGGAATTAATGTTTATAAGGTTTTGATAAGGTACATGTACATACTTATAACTAGCCAAACAATTTCATAAAATTTGCAATCTTTTTTTTTTTCATAACTATGACCCGTATCAAATTACTTTGTAAGTCAATAACTGACAAATCCTGTTTAAATTTTAATTCATCAGCGATCTCATAGATATAGAGCTACATATGGACTCAACAAGTTAATTAAAATCAAATTAAATGTGTAGCCTCTCTTGCGTTCAGAAAGTATATTTCCACTATAATATATGTCCAGTACAATAACTACATGAATAATTGGCATAGCTTGACTAAAGGACGGACAGGGGTGACAACGATATTCATGAACAATAAGCAAAAAAATATAAATCATACTGTAAGAGATACTGGTAAATTGTCATCTAATTCTATTCTTTTTGATTGAACAGGTTCTTCAGCAAAGTTGTAAGATCTTTTATTGGTTGTTCGTTTTCTGTAAATAAATTTAAATCAAATCTCAATTATAATTGTATGAATACATAATAATAAGGCTAATTGTAATCAATAATATCAATCATTTACTTTGGATTGCACTCACTTAACCGAAAGGGGGGTTGGATGGATGAATGGTTAGCATGCCCGCGCTGTATCATAAAGTCTGTCATTGAGTCGACTGGCGTGGTTTCGAATCCCCGGTTGTACGTGACAAGGAGTAGGGTCGCCTGTCCAACCTCGTGGGTTTTATCCGGGTCCTCCGGTTTCCTCCCACTGCTAAAGACCCCTACGCGCAAGCGAATTATTGAAATAAAATAAAACCATATGTTAGTCCCGAAATGACCTAGTTTGTGTCGAGTGGACGTTAAACCCCATTTCTCTCTCTCTCACTTAACCGAAAATCAGAGAAGTTCTTCAAAATTTACTGTGGCTTTCCTTTCCCCGATTTCGCCACAGTCACAACAAGTCCAGACTTCTCAACATTAATGTATCATCATAGTTTGCATGGAAATCAGTAATTCTCCTGTTACAAATAGTGAAGAGTGGACCACTGAAATAGTTACCAAACCATTTTTCTACATTTTCGAGGTAACGTTTAAACATGAGCGTGTTCTAATTCTGGTTTAGCGGCCATTTTAAAAACCAAAGAAATATTATCAAATCACATATTTATGTGGTAAGGTTTTACATTTATTTCAATGAAATAGTTCATTATATGTTAAATGATGTCAAATCACGTGACTATGCAGTAAAGTTTCACCTTTATTTCAATGGGAATTGCTTTTTATATGTTAAGCTATCTATGTGCATTACAGTTTGGGGTCAGTTTAATCGGAAATTAAAGGAGTTATTATAGGCCAGTAACTTTTTTGTAATCAAATGATTACAAAGCCTGCTCAAAGGAAGTCTGTAGCTACAGCAAGACAGAAGACATCACTAGTGGAACCATTTCTAAGAAGACATCAGTACTATAGTAGTGTACATGTAGTGCCACTGGCAGTCTGGCACTATAGCTACTAGAACATACCTAAAAACATTGCGATACTGTGATGTGTTTGGTTTTTAGCTACCATTGAATGCCTTTAGTTTTACCTGGATAGCTTTATTTCTTTATTAATGCATATAATATCTTAAAGATACATTTCCGGGTACAAACTGGGTGATTTGATGATATATTTGGAGTAAAAACATATTCAAGCTAATTAATTTATCATAATTTTGTTTTAAATCCTTATCGAAACATTGTAATTGTCAGGGAATACCCCTGCTATTAAAAATCGATCAAAAGAGGTCATGTTTATGTTTGTGTCACGTGACTTACCTCTCTCGGAACCTAGCAACAGGTGCGAAGCCGGAGGAGAATTCATTGCATATACAAGACAATGTTGTCTTTAATCACTGACTATTTATTACAAATATCGAAGCCCAATAAATTCTCGGATTATCCACTGCCCAAGTTTTTTTCCCTGGTTTTTAACTCAGAAACTGTTGCATCATCAAGTTTACGAACATTTACATCAAGCGCTCACTAACGATGGGAGATTAGGCAATCTTCGTGTGCTACCTTTGACATCACTCGAGCGGACATCAATTTTCAGGTTGCCGGTTACATTACATTTTTGCCCTGTATGCACTCCATACTCCGTGGGTGTTTTTCGTGGAATCCATTATTTTTCTAGTAAGATTGGATGTTTCTACTTTCCGCCAAAATTGCCATACTTTTATTGGAAATAAACACCTGATAAATAATTGATAAGGCCATTCTTGCAGCCATAAATAAGGTTTTCCTACTTTTCATGTATTTTGATTGGTTGTTGTTACATGGCATATCTTTACTTTTACCCCCGCCTCCATGAGAAAACTAGACAACAATTTAAAATGTCTGGAAAAGCCAGCAATTATCACTTCGATTTAAAAGAGATGGTTTGTACCCATGTCAGATTGGATTATGTGCTTAATTGTACTACTTGTAGTTGGATGTGACAGAAATGTAATAAATATATTTAAATAACAATAATCAATCTTTGTTTTAAAGAAAAATTTGACAGTTTTGCTTTTAGAAACCCGATCTGATTTGCATCAGCGTTTTGCCAGGTAAAACTATATAGTACCATCTCTTATCTAGTAGATAAAAAAACCTCATCTCTTAGCCCTATGTGTTTTGAGATAACTCAACTCAGCCATATATATAATACGAAACGAAATTTAGGTAAGTAGGTGAAAAAAAATTGGATTTTTTGAAAAAAATGTGATTGTATTGGACTAGACAAAGCAATAAATGACTGAAGATTCTCAACTTTACAAAGATTCCAATACCCCCCCGCTCCCAAACCCCCACCCCCCTTTGGTGGCCGCATCACAATTGTATGGGTGTAGCTGCATATATCACTTACCGTCATACAGTCGATTTTAGATGTAGGGTACCAGATGTCAAGGTTTTCCGAATGAAAAGAGGCGTGTACAATGGATTTTTCGATGACATTTTCAAGTCAGATAAAAACGTCACTTCAATAATTTAAACGCAAATATTTGGAGTTTGGGTGCAGGCTGTTTCGTAACCTGGCTGTTTCGTACTTAGTTTATCCGTACCTCACTTCGACCTCAAATTGATTCGTACCTTTTCCTATGTTGTTGAAATCAGTTGAAAGAACTTGAATATGCCGAACCAGAATTAGAATATGCACAAGATTTGTACCTCAAATTGATTAGTTCCTTTTCCTAAATCCAACGGCTGCGCTAAATTTATAAATACACACGTATATTTGTACCTCAAATTGATTGGTAACTTTTACTATATGTTGTTGAAAGAAATTGAAAGAAATTAAAATAAATCTATATGTTGTTGAAAGAAATTGAAATAATAAACGATTACCTGCCTTTTTTTAAAATCTGATGTTGATAATCGAATCCATTCTGCTCAGTGAATTGTGATTGACGACAATTGATTGGTGATTGTTAAAGCAGTTTAAAAAACGATTGAAAAAGTATTTTATCTGGTGTTGATTATTGAACCCATCCTGCTGATTGAGTTGTGATTTGTGATTATTGACGATAATTGATTGGTGGTTGTTAAAGCGGTTAAAAGCGATTGAATATACTAAGAATTCCAAAATCAATTTAACTCATTGTAAGGTGAAACAGCATGCTTTCTGATATGGTTGGGTTATTTGAGCCTAAAAACAGAACGCAGCAAGTCTCCAAAAGGTGTCTACGTGTGAAGATGGGCGTACGCGTTTCTTTGATCTGTTATATCATGGACCGTATACGGTTATATCATTGGGTAATTCTGTTATTGAAACCTAACTGCATGAAAATGGCTTTCGATTGTAACCGATGTCAATTTAGTAAAATGTTGAAGCAATTTTAGTTTAAATGTATCCTTTGTGTGTGAATTACTACTATTGGACAGGCTGTGTAATATCATGGACCTTATAATACATTATAAGGCCCAAGTGGTAATATCAATATGGAAATTTCTAAAAATTTTTTCAATGCATACAATTCGCTTTTTGTTATTAAATCATCGTAGCTAATTCTCGTTCGGCAGCCATTTTTATAAAAAAAAATTGTTATTTTTAATATTTTAACAGGTTGTGGTATATGATTTAAATGTTTCATATTCATGTAATTATCAATGCATAAAAGTCGCTTTTTGTTATTAAATCATCATAGCTAATGCTCAATTTCTTTCAAACACATTTAGGAAAACAAAATAATGTCTTGCATATTCTAATTATGCCTCGGCACCCACTTTTATAAATTTAGGAGAGCTGTTGGATTTGATCATATTGTTTCACCTTTATTTCAATTTCTTTTAACTGATTTAAACAACATAGGAAAAGGTACGAATCAATTTGAGGTACGAAGTGAAGTATGAAACGGCTCATGCAAGCTACGAATGAACTAAGTAGTTCAGCTCTGAACGTAGGTCTCATTACACTTGGCCTCTACGTTCAGGGACTCTTCTATTGAAACCATATAAGATGAAACAAAATTTAGGTACATTGTAAGCCTGGGAGAAAAAAAATGAAATCTTTGAAAAGTTGAGAATCTTCAGTGATTTATTGCTTTGCCTAGCCAAATTACAATAATTTACGATCAAATTCTTTCAAAAATCCCAATTTTTTCCCCCAAGCTTACCTAAATTTCGTTTCATCTTATATGGCCAAGTTCTTAAATTTGTGCGTTACCCTTTCAATGATGTCTGCCAAGTCGGTTAGAAGACGGAGATGTATTTTTTAACAGCGTGTTGTGTCGCTCATACTGACTCTAGCGAGGTAAGCAAGGTCTTATTTTCTCACTAAGATGTTCATTTATATTGTTCAGGCGTTCACAGGGACTGACACGCGACCGTTTAGCAGTAAAAAGTTGCCCAGTAAAATTGACTTGTCGACAAGGTTTCAATAGAAGAGTCCCTGAACGTAGAGGCCGAGTGTAATGAGACCTACGTTCAGAGCTGAACTAACGAAACAGCTGACATCCTTGGAGTTCAGTTAGTTTAGTCGATAGTTGTCACTAACTACTAACATTACATTGGCCTCTGTGACTTAAGTTTATTTAATTAGAATCTAGTCATAATAATAATAGTACAAAATTATTTTATTTTTAAGTAAGATGTTACATGTATGAATGAAAAAACTGAGTTCGCCAGTTGAAACTGAAGGCACCCAATCGTAGCTAAAAATAAACACATCAGTCTCAACGTTTTTTAGCTACGTTCTCTAGCTATATAACTATGCCTACGGTGTCGTACGGAGTCGTAGTCGCCGTAAGAGATGGTGGGACCATTTCTACTAAAAAAAATATTATGGCATGGCTCTATGGCATGGCTAGTAACGGGGAAAGTCAGTGCATTGGATAGAAACAAACTTTTAAAATGAAACCTACGTATATCTAATCTTTTCCATTCTTTTTCTGTTGGGGTTTAATTGTATAAATTTTTAAAATAATAATTATCCATTAGGCTAACAATATCTGTGGATATGAAGTCAACTTCGCTCGCGCTTCATACACTTTTGTGTCTTTTTCAGTCGAGCACAACTTATGGGGGGTAACTCCAAGAGATTTTATAGTGGGGGTGGGGGGCTTTTATAGGATATAGACCACAACTAATTAAAGTTGTGAAGAAAAGAAATGGTTTTTTTAACGACCCACTTTCCAACATACGCCATACAGTGTACAAAGCGGGAAATTTACCAACGGCTAAGGGTTATTTTACGTGAACGCAACTGTGTAGACGGGACCCCATATTTTCGTCTGAATCAGTAGAATGTTTGTTTGGGTGATTATAAGATGATACATAAGATAAGATAAGATAAGATAAGATAAGATTTTATTGTATCATAACACCCATTTCAGGCCGCATACAATTCATATACATGACATAAGTAACATGACAAACAAGAGCATCGCTAACGCTGCAATATACGTCCACATTCCAGCTTTGATTGATATGGTACTTTTTAAAATGAAGAGAATGAAATATGAAATGGCTGTAATATGATCAGAGGCAAAGAAGGCTAGGCGTCTGGTTTGTTTTGCCAAATTTACAGAAATGAAATGAAATGGGGTTTAACGTCCTACTGTTCTGCTCCTATACTGGGCTAATGAAGACGGGCATACGCCATACAGTGTGCTATGAGGGAAATTTTGCCCGGGCAGCGGCACTATCGCCTACTCTTATATCGAATTCCAACTGCCAAGGGATCTTTTACGTGCATTCTAATGTATACACGGGACCTCGGTTTTTCGTCTCATCCGAAGGACTGGACAGCTGTCCTTGTCAGGCCCTCCGTTCTGCACCACTGACAAGGGGAAACCACGTCGGAAAATCCAGATGAACTTTCTCGGCCAATGCAGGGATCGAACACCCGACCTCCAGGCTAGCGAGCCAGCGTCTTAACCACCCAGCCACCCCAAATTTACAGACAAAATACTAACAATAAAGTGGGTGTGACACTGCCCCAAGAGGTCGGGGCAAGTATCAAAATAAATAGTTGCTGTCTTTATGGTATAAGGAATAAATATGCAAAGTTCCAAGATGATCCATTCAGAATTGCAGCCTGTAGACGATAAATACAAAAATTGGGCATGGCTCTGCCCATGGGGGTTGGATATGGAAACAATATAAATAGTTGCCGTCCTTAGGGTATAAGGAATAAGTACTCCAAGTTCCAAGATAATCCATTCAGAATTGTGGCCTTTGGGCGTTAAAGGGAAAATTGGGCGTTGCTCTGCCCCTGGGCATTGGGGCATTCACCAAAATCAATAGTTGATGCCCTTAGGCTATAAGGAATACATATGCCAAATACCAAGTTGATCCATCCAGAATTTGGGCCTGTAAACGATAAACATAAAAATTGGGCATGGCTCTGCCCCTGGGGGTCGTGACATGCAGTTGTCGTCCTTAGGCTATAAGGAAAACATATCCCAAGTTCAAAGAAATCCATTAAGAATCGTGGCCTGTAGGCAACTCACAGAGACACAAAGAAACTAGAAATGGGCGTGGCTCTGCCCCTGGGGGTCGGGCATGCACCAAAAACAATAGGGATCTTCCTTGGGGTATAAGGAATAAGTATACCAAGTTTGAAGAAAATCCAGTAAGAATTGCGCCCTGTAGGCGACACAAAGACACACGAAAAGAAAATGGGCGTGGCTCTGCCCCTGGGGGTTGGGCATGCACCCCAAACGATAGGGATGTTCCTTAGGGTACAAAGAATGTGTATGCAAAGTTTCAAGATTATTAGTTAAGAAATGTGGCCTGTAGACGACAAACAAACAAATACTAGAAATGGGCGTGGCTCTGCCCCGGGGGGTCGGGCATGCACCAAAAACAATAGGGATCTTCCTTGGGGTATAAGGAATAAGTATACCAAGTTTGAAGAAAATCCATGAAGAATTGCGCCCTGTAGGCGAACCACAGACACACACACACACACACACACACACATACATACATACACACACACACACACACAGACAGGGGCGACGGCATAATACGTTCACATTATGAATGTGGACGTATAAAAATAAATAGCAATATACATATATATATTTATAAGAATACTAAACATAAAATACATAGGTTCATGTTAAAAGTGAAAATATCTATCAGAAACATTACTTCAAAAATGTATAGATGTCAAAAGGATAAAAAATAAAATGTGAAGTTTTGCCTTGTAATAGGTCGAGGCTTGATTTCTACGTTGAAATGCTTTATATATATAATGGCATACACTCACAGAACATATGTGAAGCAAAGAAATGGGTGAATATAAGATGATACATATGTGAAGCAAAGAAATAGGTTTTTAAACGATCCACTTTTCTGCATACGCCATACATTGTGCAAAGCGGGAATTTTGCCAACGGCTAATAATTAGGGTTCTTTTCCGTGAACGCAACTGTGTACACGGGACCCCATAATATATATTTTCGCCCCATACGACTGTTATAGATTTTGTTCCTTTTCCATCCTTCACCACCGACGATGGAAAATTCAGGGGAAATATCTTGGCCATCATCGGGACCGAACCCATATTAACATGGCCGTCCCCAATGCAGTCCAACCAGCATTAATTGCCCAAATGCACATATTGCCAGCTGGACCTGTCTGAACAAAATGTTTGTTTTGGTGATTATGTAAGATGATGCATGTAGGCTACGCTACTTGTCAACTGATACTATACTAGTTCTTTTAGGAACTAGCTATACACTAGAGTACGCTTGAGCAAGGAGCCCTTTCTTTGTATGTTTTTATTGGTTTTTAACCTCATGGGTTATTTTTAAAGAGACCATTTTGCAGTGGAAATAAATTTTTAAAAAAAATATATATATCGATGGCACCACCTCTATCAACCTTACCACGCTAATTTACAATTTTGCCATTTCGAAGTATAGATTTAGCTTCCGTGTTGTTTTTTAAAACTCGTGTTTAAATTGGCAGATATTATTAAACAGTGATAGGGGTCTAAGTAAGTATATGTTGGCAAATTACCCTACCACAACCACCCACATACCGAAAAAATAGAATGAAATAATTATGCCAGTAATAAAAATTAAATTTAAAAGAAAAATAACATGAAAAAAAAAACAAGCAACGAATTATAAAGAGAAAATACCTTTATTGATAAATAATAAAGTGTCTAAAGCACACATAAAAGGGTATATAGTGTAGCTGCTGGTTTAACGTCTGCTTCCACAAGCGGGGATTTGTCATTAGAACACATTCGATTTTCTGATTAACGAATGGAATACAGGTCAATTCAGTGCCTTAATAAAGCATAGTTCTTTATCCTAAATTCTTAGTTCTAACTTTGTATCTAACGTCAGAATACACTGGAATCCAAATCCGTGAACCATTATTATTATTCTTTGTTTCTAATTTAACATAGTTCTTGATTCTAAAGTCTTAGTTCTAACTTTGTATCTAACTTCAGAATACACGGAAATTAGTGTAACTTCGTATCTAACTTCAGAATACACTGAAATCCAAATTCGCGAACCGTTATTATTCTTTGTTTCTAATTTAACATCTTTTTCTCGAATTTGGGTAAAAATAAATTTGGAAGAAGTTAGAAATAAATGCTCAGCAACAAGAACTACTAATTTAGGATTCGAGTAAAGTTAACAGAGCTTTCTTAACTTTACCACAATGGTGTGTCAGTAAATATTAAATGATATATAATATACATGATATATAATGCAGATCCGTAGACCTGCATCTTAATAAAGTGTAAAACGCGGTGCGGTGTGGCTTCTTTATTGGAGTCAAGGGTGTTTTCTGCACTTTTTACATTTGACAATTATGAAAATAGCAGACTGGTTGGGTCGTAGTACAATCCCTCCTATTTCCCAATCAGGACTATTTTATATATATTCTACAGGTATAATCACTACATCAATAAAATGTTAAAGAATAAATATATCTTCAAAAATAAATAAAATATCATATAATAATACTATATAAAGGATATACATTTTGGATATTTCTTTTTCTTTTTTCATAGGACACATTGGATTATAATTGTGAAGATAATAATAATTATAAGACGCTCATGGACATAATTTGTCGATAAGGCGCAAATAGTTTAGCTATTTTTTTTTTCATTTTTTTTATTTATTCATATTAATTGTCCTTTGTCACACAGGGAGGCTGGATGGTTGAGTGGTCTATGGGTTTTAACATCCTACTTTTCTGCACCGATCGAGATAATGAAGACGGTGATCTAATGTCTGCGCTTTAGATAATAACGCCTGGCATTGAGTCAAGTGGCGTGCTTTCGATGCCAAGCTTGTACGTGGGTTTTCTTAGGGTCCTCCAGTTGACTCATACTGCTAAAGACCCCTCGATCTTCCCCAATCGCTACAAAAATGGTATTATATACCATTGGAACAAACAATGTCATATCTTATTTCATATATTACCACATGGTTATATCATGTATGTACAAAAGCGGATCCGTGAAGAGCGATGCAGGCATATTTTGTCGCGACCAATCTCCTTAAAGGCTATATACGATTCGTTTTGTTTTCATTATACATGTACTCACATGTATTTCAAGAATAAAAGGCACGACGATTTTCGTGTGCTTTAATGCTATTAAATTAGTAAAAACCAACACTACAGACCGAAAAGTATCAATAGGCCAAAAGGCTTATCCGTAACTATAAATTTAGCGCGAAAAATACAGAGATGTGCAATACGAAAAGGTTTAACTAAATCAGGAGCCTAATATTTCAAAGATAGGTTGCCAAGCATCGCAACATACGCTCACAGAAGCTAAGTCGTCAAAGTACTCCATACATTGTGTGGTATGGCGAGATTTTATAAAAAACAATAACACTGTACTTAATTAACAGAAACTGTTGTATTTGTTATTTACCACAATAATTGAAATAAATTAAAACATAAATTTAAAGTAGTTCAGACACCGAAGGATACGGTTAAAGTATTCACAAGTTTCTACAAAGAGAACGTGGACCATACTTCTCGACATTATTAATAGA